ATTTAAATCAAGGAAGGTTTTAGTAGACGATTATAACGATTTATTTTATTTATTTAAATTCAATTACGACTAGACGTAGATTACGAAACGATTTTATTATTAAGGTACGACCTCACGGCCCTTTCACCCTTTGCAATCCCTCGTGATTTAAATTTTTTTTTTGCAATTTCTAACGGATTAATAGTGATAATAATAATAATAATAATAATAATAATAATAATAATAATGATCGGACGTTAATCACAATTCGATGAAAATTATGTAAAAATGAAACCTTGAATCCGCGACTGACCCGTTTAAACTTTTATTTATTAGAAAAAAAAGGAGCTCTTTTTTCGGTAGGTTTGACTCATTATTTCGTTTTTATTTTTTGTTGAAGGGCGTCCGGTTAGTCATAATTTAAATTAAGATCCGTCTGCTAGTGGTGGTGGGGGTGGTAGTGATGGTAGTAAGACGTGTAACACAATTAAAGGACGCGGGGCACGCGCACATGCACACAAACCCATAACCAACCCATTACGAGAAAAAGGGAAACGTAAACGCGATGTATAAAGAAAGTTTTTTCTCTCTCTCTTTCTTTTTCTCCTTCCCTCTCTGTCCTTATCGTTATCGATAAGGATTTGTTTTTCCAAATAACACAACGACACGTTTCTTATCAACGCGACGTTTAATGTTTTCTTAAAAAATAAAAAAATACCGTACCTGTTTTTTTTCTTTTTTTTTCTTGGTATCTAAATTTAGTTTTGAAAAAAAAAAGTTAATCACGTGGTTAATGGTACCTGCATCGATTGATATTAATCATTATCGAAATCGTAAAGTACTCGAATTTATTTTCAAAAACGAAAAATCAGGTTTAGGTATGAATGAATGAAAGAATTGTTTTTTTAAATAAGGTCTTTAAAAATGATTAAATTTTGCGTGTGAATTTTTTTTTTTTTTTAAATAAATTTAACTGATGCCACGTTTGTTGTTTGTTTGTTTGTTTGCGTGGAAAAAGAAAAAATTTCCGGTCTAGTCAGGAAAATCTAGTTTTTTTTTTTTCTATTTTTTTTTTTTTTTTGTTGCTTTCTCTTCGTTGAAATGCAGAGTTGGGAGGTTTTTAATGATCGGTTATCAATTGAATAACAACAACAACAACAACAACAATCGCAACAACCGATAATTATTTATTTTCTGTTTGTTTTTGTTTTTGCGTGCAAACGTTGTAAAAATTTAAAAAAAAAAAAAAAAAAGGAAAGGAAAGGAAATTCTCATAGAGGCGAGCTTTTGAAATTTATTTTTAACTTTTTTAAAAAATATTTTCTTCTTCCACTGTATAATTTTAAAAAAAATCGTAATGGAAAATTGCGTTTAAACGCCCGCTATGTTTTCCTAGTTTTCTTCTGCTTTTCCTCTCTTCCCCTTCCTCTTCTTCCTCCTTTTTTACTTTTATTCTTCTTCATCCATTTGATTTTAAATTTATGTCGCATTAGCTTATATATAACCTTTTTAGCTTTTATTACTACTATTATTATTATTATTATTTCAAATATAAAAAAAACACAATAACTGAATTAAAATCTCTCTCCTCTCTCTCTCTCTCTCTCCCCCCCCCCCGAGATTTTTCGTTTTGTTAGTGCTGACTAAAACAGCAAGGACAACAACAACAGCAGCAAAAATCTCGTTTTCGTTTTAGCAAAATCATCGATGCGATCGTTTTAATTGAAAATCTCAAAAACAATTTTCCTCCGACTTTTCGAAGAAAAACCTCTCAAAGAATTTTCTTCATCATCATTATTATTATTATTATTACTATTTCACTTTTAATCGCTTATGTTCTTGTGAAAGTTTTCCAGCATTCATTCCAGGTTTCTACTCGATAACTTTTTGAAGAATGTGAGACGTTACAAAACAATTTCTTCTATTAAATTCTTTGAAAATTATTATTATTATTATTATTATTATTATTATCACTTCCAGTACCTGAAATACATATTTTATAAAATAAAAACAATCGCTAAAAATTATTCATTAACGCGTAAAATTATTTCCTGTAATTAAAGTGTCGAAAAACTTGTCGTGTTCGGCGGAAAAAATTTTTATTTTTTTTTTCTATTGCCAGGAGGCTTTGGTTTGTTTGTTTTTTTCTTTTTTTTTTTTTTTTTTTTTTTACTTTTCAATTAAATCAAATAACCGTAACGAAAAGGAATTTTTTGTAAAGAAAGACAGAGATAGAGAGAGAGAAAGAGAGAGAAATTGTTTTTACGTTCGGAAATATGAGATTTATTATAAAATTAGGTAAAATCCTAATGTCTGCCTCCCATCAGTTTGTCACTCACAATTAATAATTAAAATCTCCGGTGGTGGTGGTGGTGGTGGAAGGGAGGGTAAAAGCTTTTCCTTCGTAAGGTAAACATACAGATTTTTTTTTTTTCATTTGTTGTGATTGATTGATTGACGACAAACGATGACAGACGAGTAAACGAGCGCTTTTAATTAAAAAAAAAAAGGTATCACTAACGAATTGATATCGTGTTTTATTTGTTTTTATCTTGATTGTTTTTACGGTTGTTTGTTTGTTTGTTTGTTTCTGAGTGAGTCAGATTATTGTTATTTAATATCACCCGGAAAACCGTTTATAAAAAAAAAAAATTTAAACGATTGCGAAAAGACGAAAAACTTGGGAATCGTAATGAGAATTATTTAAAATAAGGAAATTTTTTTTTATTATTATTAATCGAATCGATTAATACTTATATAAAAAATGATTTATTACTTTTTTTAATTTTACCCTTTGACCTCTACCCGATTGATTGATTTTTTCCGATCGTTAAGGATTGATTACCCCCTTCCCTCAAAGGTTCACCGTAAAAAAAAAAATAATTTTAGACGTGAAAATAGGAATCGGTAGTGTATTTCGATTTAACCGTCGTTGTTATCATTATCATTCGAAAGAGGGAAAGGTAGGGGTTAGAGGGAGGAAAATATATATAAACGAATAAACGTAATTACAAAAAAAAAAAAAAAAAAGTACTATTACGCTGTAATTGTTTTTAAAAGCTTTTAAACTACAAAAAAAAATGTTTTTAATCGAAAAATCACATAAAAATTGATTTTTAATTTGAGTAAGAGAAGAGAAAGCAAAATTTATGACGTAAAAAGTACCGGTACTCGTTCGTTTTTCTCTCTCTCTTTCTCTCTCTCTTTCTCTCTCTCTCTCTCTTTCTCTCTCTCTCTCTTTCAATAATGAAAGTCACGAGATTTTTTTGTGCTTTGAAATTTTTATTATTAAAAAAAAAAAAATAGAAGGTGGATTTTATATATATGTACGAAATAATAAAAATAATAATAATAGTAATAATAATAATAATGATATTGAACGCGTTTTATTTATTATTAAAAAAAAAAAAAATGTGTTTGTGTCACGACGTCGAATTTTCTCGTCATTCTCTCCCTTATTTGGTTCGCAAACATGAAAATGAAAAAAGAAAAAAAAACGTTAATTGTGTGTGGGGAGAGGAGGGGAAAAGGGGAAGGGGAAGGAAATATAATAAGCGGACGTTCGTAGTAAATGATGAAAAATATTTAAAAAAAAAAAAGTATATCCGGTTTATCCCCGGTTAAAAAAAAAAATTCAAAATGATTATTATTATTATTATGGGAACGCGTTAAATAATTTATAGGAATGATGGTGATGTTGTCAAGGGGGTGGTGGTGGGGGGTGCGCGCGCGAGAGTAATGAAAAGAAAATTATTTTTTATGATTTTTATCCAACAAGGGATAATTTATCCAGGACGCGGATCTTTTTTTCTTTTTTCTCGTTCGTTCGCTTTGGGGATTTAAATTTAAAAAAAAAAAGAAAAATTAATTATTTTATTTTATTTTATTTTTTGATTAAACGTTTTAATTCGTTTTCCACCGAAAAAAAAGGAAAATGTCGGAAACGTGAAAAATAATTTTTTGATTGTTTAAATTTTCCTGAAGGATGAGAGAGCAAAGGGAATTTAAATTACTTACACACCCGTTTACCCGTGAATATTCCTGGAGAATCGTTTTTCGTAATAATAAAAAAAAAAAAGGAATGAAAATTTTATTTTAATTTTTTTAATTTATTATTATTATTATTATCATTATTATTATTTTCATTATTATTATTATTTATAAGGGATTTTTTTTTTTAAATAAATAAAATCCACTTTTGCTGTAACCGGTTTTTTTTTCTCATTAATGCCGGATGATTTTTTTAAATTTTTCTTTCATCATGTTTCGACATTTTTTTTTTTTTCTTCTGCTTTTGATAACAACAACAACAACAACACCCGTATGATAAAATACAACAGATAATTATCTAGAAAGGTTTTTTTTTAGGCTCGTTTTTACCGATCGCGGGTAAATCATTAATAACAATTTATTTTCACTTTGTTTTGTTTGTGTTTGTTGAGTCCGACAAAATGATAGTTTCACGTCGATACCATTAATGCGTTGTTTGGTTCTTTTTAAGTTTGTGTTAGGTTTGACGTTAGGTAGACGATGAAAAATCAGGTACGATTTGGCGTTTATTTAAAAAAAAAAAAAATGAAAAACAAACGACGATTCGATTTCTTAAAAACGCATGTTTTGTGTTTGGTAATGTGTCGTCGCCGCCATTTTGTAATGACATCACAACACTCGTAAATATGTTTATGTTTATGTTTTTTTTTTTTTTTGTACCAACACAAAATTAAAAATTTTCGTAACTTATAACCCCCCATCCGGTCGTTTGTTTTGCGGTTTACCAAAAATAAACCCGATTTACGGTGTCCATTTTGACCCGATATTAACCCGGTTTTTTATGGATTCCAGTTCGAAATTTCTTGTTATCCGTGAGTTTTCAGTCAAATAAATAAATAATAATAATAATGATGACGACCTTTTAAATTTTTTTAAAGAAAAATCGATGTCAAAGGTCATAATCGTAATCCATCGTATTACGATCGAATTTTTTCATTTTTGGAGAAATAATTTCTTTTTTTTTGTTACAGCAACAGGAAAACAAAGCGCTCAGATTGAAAAATGCCGACGTTTTGATAGAAGAAAACGGGGGGAAAACGGGGAGCGGGTTGGGATCATCATTCAATAGCAATACGGATAATTACAAGAGTAATTCGTACGGTAATCAAGAGATTTTCGTTTTGGGAGAATCGAATTATGCGAAAAGCAATTCCGGAAACGTGATCAATTACGACAATCGTCAAGCTTGGCTTTATTTCGACGAGAAATCGTACATAAGAGGAAATGCGTTGAAAGAAGGAGAGGATCCTTATTTTAAGAACAAATTCAATCAGGCTGCAAGCGATTCGCTACCGAGTAATCGTGAGATACCAGATACCAGAGGTCAAGCGTGAGTATCTATATGAGTACACACATGCATGAAAAATTCTCCCTCAGTCTGAATTTTTGTTGTTGTTGTTGTTCTTGTTGGTATGCGAACGTGTTTGCGGTCAGAGAAAGAGTGGTTCCTCCTCCTCCAATTCTCCCACCCTCCCCCTTCTCCCCCCATCAGGAACGTAGAAATTCATTTCGTTGAAAAACGCAAGCTTTCTATTTTAAAATATTCAAAATAATTATTATTATTATTATTGTGCGAGTTTGTGTGTGTGCAGCAAAGGTCAGCAATTAACAAAATATTTATAAAACCTGAAAAAAAAAATTTTTTTTAATTTTCAATCCGCCCCTTTTATTTATTCTCTTCCTTCCCATCGTCGTCGCAACAACCGCCGCCGCGCACACACACACAAACGTCGAAAAATTTAATAATAATAATTTCTTACATTTTATAAATAAAAAAAAAAAAAAAAATTGGAAAGTCGACGTTCATCGAAATTAAGTGAGTCTCTTTTTAATTTAAAATAAAATCGATTTAGTCGAAATGGAAAAAAAGAGAGAGAGAGAGAGAGAGAGAGGGAAAAATTTTCACAGAGACGTGACATACGTGCTGCTGGAATGAAAATTTTTTTTTTTTTTTTTTTTTTAATAAATCATTACTGGAGAATTTTTTATTTATTTATTTACTTATTTATTTTTTCAAACGTTTGAATCGTGAGAAAATTTTTTTTTTTTCCATTTTTTTTCCATTTTTAAATTACGCGGCGTACGAAAAAAAAAAAAAAAAAACTAAACCAGACTAAACTAATCCCACGTCGCGAATTTTATTTTCGTATTTAAATTTGGAAAATGTTAAAAAAAAAAAAATTTTCCGCGTCATTTTTTGGCGAACGCGATATCACGCCATGCCGTCGTAAATTTAATTTATTTAAAACATTTACTTGCGATAATAATAATAATAATAATAATAATAATAATAATAATAATAATAATAATAATAATAAAGATGGCGGCGTTTAAAAAACCGAATCGAACGTCATAAACAAGACGACGACTTTCGCCGCGTAAAAAAAAACTTCAGAAATTTTAATTTATCGTCCTTTTTTTTTTAAATATGGAAAAGTAATTTCGAAAAACCTCGAATAAGAAAAAGAAGAAAAAGCAGAAGAAATTAAGAGTAAATATATTTACATGTAAAATGTTAATTGTTTACCTTGACTTTTGACCTCTACGGTTAAAAATCCTGTCAATTTTTTAGTAGCAAATATCAAAATCAAAAATTTTTGCGGAAGAAGAATGAAGGGGAAAAATTTTCCCCTCCCTCCCTTCCCCTCCTTTCTCTCCATTTTTTTTTGAGGTCAAGGTGAGGTTTCGGTTTTAAGGTAATAAATAAATTACTGGAGAAAAAAAATTATGGCGGCGACGCTGGAAACACGAATTTAAGAGCAAAAAATAAATTTTCTCATTCGAGACAAAAATTCGTTCGAAATTTTTCTGGAGAAATAATTTTTTTTTTTTTTTTCATCCGTTTTCCAGTTGCAAAAGAAAAAAATGGCGTACGGATCTTCCGCCGACGAGCGTCATAATAACTTTTCACAACGAAGCCAGATCAACATTGTTAAGAACCATCGTGTCGGTTATGAACAGGAGTCCGGAACATTTAATTAAAGAAATCATATTGGTCGATGATTTTTCCGACAATCGTAAGTTAAATATTAATACGTCACCGTTATGACGTCATACGTGGTTTGTTAAAATTTTTTTTTTTAAATCTCGTTCCAGCATCCGATGGAGAAGAATTAGCTAAAATTCAAAAAATTAAACTTGTTAGAAATGAAAAAAGAGAAGGTGAGTGAATACTTTTTTTTTTTTAATACTGGAAAAAATAATTTCCAGCTCTCAATTATTATTATTATTATGGGTTGTTGTTGTAGTCGTGTAAAAAGAAAGGAAATGACAATTTTTTTTTTTTTTTTTTGCGTTTCAGGTTTGATGAGGAGCAGAGTAAGAGGAGCCGATTTGGCGACGGCTCCGATTTTAACGTTTTTAGATTCTCACGTCGAATGTAATGTTAATTGGCTGGAACCGTTACTGGAACGAGTGGTCGAGGTAATAATTTAATGAAAAAAATATCGATCGACATTTTAAAAAAAAAATTATCAAACTGACCGAAAGTGGGGAGGAGGGGGGGGAGACGAATCGTCTTCTCTCACGAACGTGTCCGTAAAATTAAAAAAAAAAAATGTATAACCTGGAATTTCGTCATCATTATTATCATTATTATGACGAAAATTTCTCCACGTTGTGATTCGAATCATTTTGTTTCATCACCTCCTCGAATTTACCATCCCCCCCTTTTTTTTTTGTTTTCCTACAGGATAAAACGAGAGTCGTGTGTCCCATAATTGACGTCATAAGCATGGACACGTTTCAATACATCGGAGCATCCGCGGATTTGAGAGGAGGTTTCGATTGGAATTTGGTATTCAAATGGGAATACCTGACTCTGGATCAAAGGTTGAGGAGACAACAGGATCCCACGAGAGCGATAAAAACCCCCATGATAGCCGGCGGTTTGTTCGTCATAGATCGTTTGTATTTTGATACATTAGGAAAATACGATATGCAAATGGATGTTTGGGGAGGTGAAAATTTAGGTATGATATCATAGGTCGGAAAAGCTTACACTCTCTCCCTCTCTCGGTTTGGAGTAAGACGAAAATAAGGGAAACTTTAAAAATTTTCAGAAATATCGTTTAGAGTTTGGCAGTGCGGTGGAAGTTTAGAAATCATTCCATGTTCGAGAGTGGGTCACGTTTTTAGAAAAAGGCATCCCTACACTTTTCCGGGAGGTTCTGGAAATGTTTTCGCTCGTAACACGAGGCGTGCAGCCGAAGTTTGGATGGACGATTATAAAAAATATTATTATGCTGCCGTGCCTCTTGCCAAAAGCATACCTTTTGGAAAGTATGTACTGAACTCTCTCCGTATGTCACGGATTGTTTGGGGGGCTGTTTTTAATTAATTTTTTTTTTTTTTTAACGTGGCAGCATCGACGATAGACTCGAACTTAAGAGAAAACTTCATTGCAAATCATTCAAATGGTATTTGGAAAACGTTTATCCGGAATTGTCGATACCTCATTCCACGTCACCCGCATTCGGTTCTATAAGACAACGTCAACTGTGTTTGGATACTTTGGGTCATTCCATAGAACAAACAGTCGGATTGTACGTTTGTCACGATACCGGAGGAAATCAAGTCAGTCAAATTTTTTTCTTTCTTTCTTTCTTTCTTTCTCTTTTTTATTAACGAGAAAATAATTTTAAAAAAAAAATTTGTTTTAGGAATGGGGAATGGAAGATGATAGTTACATCAAACACCACGATTTGTGTTTGACAATACCTAATTACGTACCTGGCGCACTTGTTCTCATGCGTCTTTGCGAAGATGCCGACAATCAGGTAGTGTTGGATGTAAAACCTAATAAAAAAATTTAATTTAGTACAAAATATAAGTTAAGCATTTCTTTATAAATTTTCTTTTGATAGAAATGGCGGCTCGTTAATAATGGCGGACTCGTTAAACACGAAACGTATAGTTTGTGTTTGGACAGCAGAGATGCAACCACTCGAGGCCTAATTGTTGAAAAATGCGATTCGAGATCACCAACGCAACAGTGGAATTTTATAAAACCTGGAATATCATAGGATCGATATTAAAGGAAAATTTAGGGATTTGAAATTGAATAGGCGCGTAATATGTAAATATTATTTTCACACACTCTCTCTCTCTTTCTTACTTTCTGTCTTTCTCTCTGTCTCTCTCTCTCTCTCTGTGTAAAATTGACATTTCGATAATGCTAGTCATTAATTATATATATGTATAGCAATGAAAGGAATAAAAAAAAAAGAAAAAAAAATGGCCTAAATTTAAGGAAACGACGAACGTATTTGAACGCGAACAACGTGAAATCGTGAATTTTTTTTTTTACAGTATTAAATTGACAAAAAGGTAATAATTTTAGGTATAAAAAAAAAAATTTTATTATTATTATTATTATTTCCGTTGGATTTGTGACTGATTACGACTGCCAGTTTAATAAAAAAAAAAACGTGTGACTCAAAACAAAAAAAAAGCAATCAAAATGTGATGATAGTTTATTATTATTATTTTGCACGAATAATTAAATAGTGATTTAAGTAAGATTTAACTGTATGATTCCATTTTTAATATGAAAATTCAAAATAAATAAATAAATAAATAAAATAGTTATTTTTTATGTTTGTTTAAATTTTTTATTCGTTACAAACACACAATTCGGTTTTGCCTTCCTTCCATATTGAAAAATATTTTTTTTAAATATTCGATAAAGGCGAATGTGATAACTTGTGCAAATTTCTCATCATCATCATTAGAATATAATCACACAGGAGTGAAAATGTGGATGGATAATAAGATTTTAAATAAAATTTTACATAATTTACATAATTATTGTATTATTTTATTTAAATAAATTTATTTATTGAAATTTTAATCGAATGAGAAAATTCACATGATGATATTTTATTTACGTATTCGAATGTTATCTTTTAACTTTTTTATTTTTAAGACTGTTTTTAATTTTTTGTTTAAATTCATCAACATTAAATTCATCATCAGGTTTTTGTTTAACAGGTTTAGGTTTATCTTCTTCTGGTGGTATAAAAGGTAATTTTCTTTTTTCTTCTCGTCTCTTTTTGGCTTCTTCGTGCCTTTCGTTAATTTCTCTTTTTCTCTTTTGTTGTTTTTGAGCTTCCGTCATGAAATATTCACCAGATTCTAATTGTTTATCTATTTTACTTTCAGTTTGTGGTGGTGGGAATGGAGTGTATGGTTTCTTTTCCTTTTTGTTCTTGGGTTTCTTCTTTTTGGGCAAGTGTTTGTTTTTAAATTTTGGTAAAAATCTTTCCCAATTTTCATTTTTTAATATCGGATCTTTAGCCAATTCCCTCTTTATCATTAATTCTTTTATCTTATAAATTGGATGCATGTTGAACATTGTTTTTTCAACAATTGATCTGACCTGTTTGAAATCAAAAAAAAAAAAAAATTCATTAAGTAAATTATACACATGATAATAAGTATCAAAAGGATTTGAATCTTACCTCCATTAAGCCTTTGTAAGGTCCCAATGCAGCAACTGTTTGCCCTTGTACCAAAACATAACAATTAGTTAATAATTCAATTGATTTTAAAGTACATCCTCCAGGTCCTATAATTCTTTGTCTTCTTTTAATAAATTTTTCTCTATTTCGAACTAAAGAACCTATTTTAATTATGTCACAAAAAATGTCATCTTCTAAAACTCTGATTGCTTGTTCGAAAGGTACACTTCTAGACAATAATTTAATCATGTCCCTTGCTTTAATTATTATATATGGATCCCATGTTTTCCTTGTCGTTTTCACTTTCATACTACCCTCTATAACGTCTAGTTCACCCTTAATCCCATATTCGTTAAGAACTTTTTGAATTTGTGGCCAATATTGACGCAAATAAGGTTCTCTATATTTAGGAAATAAAGTTGCAAACGAACTTTCTTCTAATAATCTATGAGGATTATCCTCTTTTTTAAATTCTGGTACTTTGAGAGACCATGCGTTTTCAACAACTTTTGGTCTTTTTTCTTCCTCATCCTCATTGTTCGACATTGTTTTATTCTATTTAAGCAAATAAATAGGTTTTTGTAACCAAACACGTGGATTAAACGTTTTTTTCCGATCGATTCCGAAAATTAACTTTTTGGTCGATAAATAAAAATAAAAAATTAATACACAAAATATTATTATAACCTCTCCTTCTTTTGATTATTGTTAAGTAATATTATATTAAAAATAATATTAACGTGATACGATTGTAAATTAAATTTCCGCAAAAGTACTCGTGAACCAGAGCAAAATTTAAAATATTGCTTTCATTAAGAGTGTACGAAGGTATTCCCGCGTAAATGAGAGCTTTGTTATTTTGTATATTACATTTTTATTTATTAAACGTAGTTTTTTAAGTGTTTTAAATTTACAGTTTGACAGTAATCAATTACTTTATTCATCGAAAACAGGTATCTTTTTCTTATAATCAAATTTACAATGTTTTTTTTTCCAATAATTTAATTTTTCTATAATTTAATTTGTTCAAATGTATAGTAAAAATTATTTATTTATTATTTCCAGAAATTAAATTTCTAAAATGTTCATAAAAATTTCTACGGGAAAAGAAATAAGACCGATTGAAATATCTAAAAAACAATCAATTAGTGAATTGAAAGAACTTATTGAAACCCAACTTAAAATAAATAAATCTAAACAAAAATTATTTTACAGTGGTAAAGTTTTAGAAGATAGTACACCAATTTACAAATATAATATCAAAGATGGATATGTAGTGCAACTTATTGAACTTAAAGAACCTATTGTTGAAAAAAAAGTTGAAAAGCAACAAATAGTTAAAAAGAAAACAACAATTGTTGAAAATAATTTAAGTGAATATTATAATGTTGGGGAGTATATTGAATGCCAAGAAAATGATGGATCATGGTTCGAAGGAGAAATAATTGAAATTTATCAAGCGGGAAATAATGAAAATTTAGATGAAAACACTGTAGTCACACCTATTTCAATATATAGAATTCAGTATAAAGATGAAGATAATGAAATAACAAAAGATTTAAGGCTTGAAGAATTCAGGCCCAGATCTATACATCCAGTTGATTTTAACTCGCTTGAAATCGGTCAAATCATACATTTAAATTATAATTCAAAACAACTGCAGGCTTGGGGCAAGTGGTATGATTTTTACATAAAAGAAATTGATAAAAAGAAACAATTGACATTAAGTGGTCATTTAATATTGGGGAAAAACAAAAAAAAAGAAAATATAAAAATTGTCTTGAATCCTTTTGAAAATTATAATTATTCAATAAGAAGTCATATTAAAATATCAGAAAGAGATAAAAATTTTGACGTGGGTGCAAAACCCATTTTTTGTGACACATGTAAAAAAAATAAAAATCTTCGCTGCAAAGATTGTGGATGTTCTGTTTGTGGAGATAGAAATGATCCGGAAAAAACAATAGTTTGCGATGAATGTCAATATGGTTTTCACATATATTGTCTCAAGCCACCCCTGAAACAAGTCCCAGAAGATGACGATTGGTATTGTAATTCATGTAAAAATGAAAACATTATCGTCGAAGATGGTCAAACTGTAAAAACGAAAAGAGGATTCACGGCTGACAAATCTAAAAGCAAAAGGTATTGTTAATTATTACTACAAATCAATTCGTCTTTTATTTTATTTTTATTAAAAAAAGGCACTTATTGGGAGATAAAATTGGTTATGTATTGGTTATTTTGTTTAAAGGGATTGGGGAAGAGGGATGGCTACAGCTGGAAGAACAACGGTTAATACAATAGTTCCAGCTACACATTTTGGGTCAATACCTGGTGTAGAAGTGGGAACAACTTGGAGATATCGAATACAAGTTTCTGAATCTGGTGTGCATAGACCTCACGTTGCTGGTATCGCGGGTAGAAAAGATGTGGGTGCTTTTAGTATTGTTTTAGCTGGAGGCTACGAGGATGATAAAGATGACGGAGACGAGGTTTGTAGTTTAATTCCTTAAATCGCCCCAAAATATACATAATTTATTAAGTACTTATCGATTGTAATGGTGGTTAATCATTTTTATTCAGGTTTTATATACAGGCTCGGGTGGTAGAGATTTAAGCAATAACAAACGTGTATCAAGTCAAAGTTGCGATCAAGAATTGACTAGGATGAATTTGGCTCTGGCAAAAAATTGTAATGCCAGTATCAACGATAAAGAAGGTTCTGAATCGACGGATTGGAAAGCGGGTAAACCTGTCAGAGTTGTTCGAAGTTACAAAGAAAAATCTGAATACGCACCCGTGGAAGGTTTTCGCTACGATGGTTTATATAAAATCGTTAAATATTTTCCCAAAACGGGAAAATCCGGTTTTAAAGTTTGGCAATTTTTACTTCGAAGAGACGATTTGACACCGGCTCCATGGACTCCAGAGGGTAAAAAACACATTCAAGCCCACGGATTGGAAGATGTTATTTATCCGGAAAATTACGGGGAAAAAGCCAAGAGAAAAAATAACGACAACGACGATGACGACGACAGCGGCGGCGGTGATGGCGGCGATGGCAACGGTCACGTTTCCAAAAAACGTAAAAAAGTAGAAGAATTCAAATTAGGAGAAGAATTATTAAAATTAGTTGAAAATGACGATTTGAATAAAAATAAATGGGACGAAGTCAATGAATATTTAAAAGAAGGAAAAGTCAAATATTTAGAAGAATTGAAAAACGCATTCGAATGCGTTTGCTGTCAAGATTTGACTCACAAACCCGTCACGACGATTTGCAAGCATAATTTTTGCCTTTCTTGTTTTCAAAATGCTAAAAAGGTCATGGGTAACATTTGTCCTCTTTGTAAAACCGAATATGAAAAAGTACCGAACGTTAATGAAAATTTGGATAAAATTCTTCTCACGCTTTATCCGGGTTATCAAGTCGGACGATAATTTATCAATCAATCATTTTTCCTCGTCGTCTCCCCAATATATTTTCCTAAAGTTTTTTTTTTTTTTTTATAAACAAAAGTCGCAAATCATTCCTGATTTTAAATTCGTTGACCAAAGTGAATTTTTTCAACACTCGGAGGGGAAAAAAAAAAATTTAAATCGCCCTATTTAAAATCCAATCTCGTTAGATCGGAAATCAATTCCTTATTTCATAATAATAATAATAATAAAATCCCGGATTTTTTTTTTTTTATTGATTTAAATTTAAACTAAAGTTTATTATAGTAAATTTTAATAACCGAAAATGAACTCATTAATACGTTATTTAGCCCTCTCATTAGTATTATTATTATTATTATTATTATATGTATTTTATTTATAATGAAATGACAGGTAGTAACAAATGTTTCTTTTCTCTCTCTCTCTCTCTTTTTCTCTTCAGTAAATTATTTATGGGAACCGGTAGATCTACCCGTTTACAGTGGATCTTTTTATTTTTATTTTTTATTTTAGGAAACACGTGGTATTGTTTTTATTTATTATTATTATTATTATTATTATTATTATTATTGTAATTATTAAGTTTTAGTTGTTACTCGTGAAAATTTGAAAAATTCAAGGAGAAAAAAAAAAAAGAAAAAAAAGAACGTTACATGAAATCAATCGAATTCTCATAAAAACGATTAATAAATAATTATAACTATTATTATTATTATCATTTAGTCGGAATTTATATAATAAATAAATAAATAATTAATCAATAAATTGAAGGTTTTTTTTTTTTTTTTAGAATTTATTGAAAATTTTTTTCTGGATCCCGTGTGATATTTGAAATGAGGATTTTGGAAAAATTTTTTGACAGGAGTAAAAGAAAAGTAAAGGAAAAAGCGTGGAAATGATAAGATTTTGTTTTTTACCTGGAGGGAGAAAAAGAAAAAATCAACAGGAATAAGTAAGTTAATTACATTAATTAAATTAAATTAAATATGAATCCCGAAATAAGAATGGCTGTGAGGTATGAAAACGAGAGGAAACACTTCCGGTTTTCGTAGGGATACACACACCGATTTTTTTTTAAAATGGCGTCATACGATACTACCTTACCATCCAATTTATTACGCACACGCACACACGCACCCATCCCCCATCCTTCTCCCATTTACAATAATCGATAAAATCTTTTGAAAGAAACATTTTTCCAAAAAAAATTTTTTTTCCTTAACCAGAAGGCATCAATTAAGGCACCTGCGGTATTCATACGATGATGACAAGGCATCGAGATAAGGGATGCTTAGTTTATCTCATTATCGTGACTACTCGTTAACCGGTCTCATTAATAAAAGACCGCTAAAGGAAAACTACCCTTTATAAAAAATTAAGGGGGTTGTAACTTAAAAAAAAACCATTTCCTATAATTATCTTTGTTATCAATAAATTATCAATTGACTGATTATCGGGTTATTTAAATGTAATTCGTCGGCTTATTATTTATATTAAAAATCTTTTTATTATTCCCACGGTGTCGCCCGTATTTTATTTGTTTTTTTATATATTATCATTATTATCATCTCGCCGTCTTTTGGAAATTTCCCTCCCCCCCTCCCATCCCCCGTCTTCCCTCCTTTTTTTAATTAATTTTTAAATTAAATTTTTTTAAGGGGTTTAGGACGAAAACTTTCTTATCAAAATGGCCGATTACGGGAAGGGGTGAAAAAAAATAATAATAATAATAATTTTTTATTTATTTATTAAATATCGTTTTTATTTTTATTTTTTTTACATAAATAAATAAATCGTTTATGATACCATTGCTATTATCAATCCAACAATTGAACCGCATATCATTCCAACGGTTCCTCCTTTGGCAACCGTTTTACTCATTTTCTGTACGAATTTCGCCGAATATTTTTTATCATTTTTTTGACAATATTGTACCAAACAATCGCAAAATGCTAAAGAACAACCCAACAATCCTCCGACGATCGAACGATCCAATATAATTGTAAATAATTTTTTTGCATCAATAGAATTCATCATATTTTTTTCTTTTTTCGCGAAACAAAAAGGGAAAAACTTATAAATTTAATGTGACACACTTCAAATTTTTTTTGATTTATTCCGCGTATACGTAATTATTATTATTATTATTATTATCAATCGATTATCTCAAATATATATATATTTGTATAATATATATATAAATAAAAAAAGTAAATAAAATAAAATGTGTATATAAAAATAAAAATATTATTATTCACGATTTTTTTTTTCCTCGAAAAATAAATATTATTATTATTATTATTATTATTTAATTTTTGAAAATGTTTTAACGACGCAAAACCTCCTACAATTTTCAAATTCCCCCCCCTCTTCCCCCTCCCCTTATATTAAATCGTATAAATTAAAATGAAAAAAAAAAAATTTAGGAGGCCTGGGAATGAATTTTTTTACGAAAAAAAAAAAAAGTAAAAATAAAATGTATTACGTCAGCGACGTCGACGTCGACGACGACGACGAGGAAAACGACGAAAACATCAAAAAAAAAAAAAAGTTTATTTTTTATTTTTTTTTTTTTATGTCGTGGGTTTTTTTTTTTTTATTTCATTTAATCCCATACATGATTTAAGGTTTTTGACGCCTTTGCTCTTCCTATTCCTCTCTTCCTCTTTCTCCCCCTTCCCCCCTTTCTTCCTCCTCTCCCTTTTTGTTGACGTCATTTTTCGTTACGGATGCTGTTGGCAAAAGTTACCGGTGAGGACGAGTAAAAAAAAAAAAAATTTTTTTTTATAAATAAAACGAGAAAACGTTTTATTAAAAAAAAATTGTGAGAAAATTTTCTATTATTATTATTATTATTATTAACGCGACAGGTTTCATGTTGTGCTTTTGAAGTTGGTTTACCTGTTGTTTGAACCTTTAGCCGAAATCCTCGATGGTGCCTTCGAAGAGATGCTGTGGATCGTTTCCACATCATTTTCCGAATGTGTGTCATGGCTCCCATCGGAATCCTTCCTGCCTTTACTCCCCTCTCATCCTAATTCTTCTTCCTCCCCTTCTTTCCCTGTCTGGTGTGGTCCAACACACTTCAATTCAAACCATTTCTCCAGAATTATACCTTGGGATGATATCCGATTTGTCGGCTGGGATTGTTCGAAGCACAAAACTTCGCACTGTTATCGTGCCTGAAAATTATTATTATTATTATTATTATTATTATTATTATCATTAAGTTCGTTACAATTTAAAGAAGAAAAATGGTTAAAAGATGAAGGAGAAAGAAGGTGTGACGTTGTTACATTCCATAACGATTCTTTTAAATCGGGTGTTAAAAATAGCACCTGTCTTTAAAAAAGGAAAAAAGGTTATATAAATTAAACGGTTCGGTTTTTTGTTTTCTTGTTACCGTTTTTAGTAAAAAAAAAAAAAATTAAGTTTTCCTTAACTTTTTTCCCCCCCACCCCTCCCTTGCACCCCCTTCCGCATCATCCCCCCATTTTTTTTTAATAAAAAGTCTACACAAAGTCGATCATTAGCACTGATTAATAATAGCCTTAAGGGCCGAAATGTTTTTTTGTTCTCTTTTTAATTTGACAAGCAGGTGGGTTATAAAATGGCCGACCGACAAAACTATCATCATTATTATTATTATTTTCATTGATGCCCCCCTCCCCCCCTGCGTGAAATGAAAGGAAAGGAAAGAAGAAGGTTTGAAAAATAGAATAAAATTGGCAAATTTTTAATTAACCGTGTTGAAACCTTTTTTTTTTTTTTCGAACAATTGCACACAGGTACTTTGAAGTTTTTTTTTTTAGGCGGGAAGGAGGGGAAAGGAGGGGCAGGTACCCGATTGAGTACTCGCACGCACACACACACGCACCGATATTTTTTTTCGTAATTAAATTTTATTATGGGCGGATTGGAAATAAAAAAAAAAATATATCGACCGGCTGACCGACGGTTTCCATTTTTTAAAAATTACCTGAAACCTGAAAATAAAATTCATTCATTTCCCTTTAGAACTTAACAAATTTAAAAAAAAAAAAAAACAATTTCCTATTTACCGTTTAATATCATTATTATTATTATTTTTTCGCGCCTTTTTTCTGTTTTTCTTTTTTTTTTAAAAATAAAAAAATTTATAACCGTTATTTAAATTTACTACGCATTGAAAGCAAATACGTTTAATATTCGTAATTTATTATTATTATTATTATTATTTATTTTTTTATTATTAAGATAAGTTTTTACGCTGCGTAAATAAAATTTAATGCCCCCCCCACCCCCTCGTTTTCCTCCTTTCTCCCCTTTTTTTATTATTATTAATAATAAACATCATCGTAACGTAATAAATTTTTTGTTATTACCTTTGGCGCGAATTTTTTTTTATTTTTTATTAATAATAATAACGTTAAGGAAATTAATAAGTTTATTAATGTTTTTTTATTTTAAAAAAATAAATATATAAATAAATAAACGAAATTATTAAATGGAATCTAAGTACATAAATAAATAAATAAATTTCAAATCGATTATCGAAAAAATATTTTTATTAATATATCGAAAAAAAATTTTTTTTTTTTCGTTTAAAGACGATAATGATAATAATAATAGTAATTGTGAGGTAGTATTGTGCAACAGTGCGCGATTACATCACGTCGGCTTATTTTATTAATTTTATTAGTTTTACTTAACGGTTTAGTTATTTAGTTATATATCAAAAGTTTTGTTATCGAGTGTAGTTTATTGTGGTGTAATTAGTTTTTCATATTATTTAGTGATAATTATAATTATTTCAAGTTTTAATTTACAAATTGTCAGCCATTTTGGTGACAAAGTGAAGCGTCGGTAATAAGAAATCTTAGAAGATGACTTAGTACATTTGATTATCACGGGTGAGTCAATCATTTTTAATCGTTATATTTCAATTGCAAAATGTTAGGCTAACAATGAAATGGAGCCAAAAACCCAACAAACAGTTTTAAAATTTTTACATTTATTTGGTTAATCATGAGTAGTTTAACTAAATATCTTTTTCATCTCATCATAAATAAGAAGAGTTGAAGTAATTTAATAAAAATATTTATTAACAATGATTGATTTGATATATATTAACTCAGTGTACAAATTTCTATACTCTTATGTGTAAGGGTTAACTTACTGATTGTTGGTTGTTTGTAGGTTGTTTTAACCCTTTTGTTAAGTTAGTTTGTCTCATTACAACATAGTTTATCATAGAGATAGTGTAAAACCCCCTTTTAAACTGTATCAAAGTCAGGGGAATAGGGTAGCCTTTATGTTAGTTGATTGTAATGTAAGGAATTAAGAAAAGGCACAGCAGATTCCATTTAATTGTTTTACATTTCTTGAGCTGATTATAAGTAGTTGAGCTAAATACCTTCTGCCATACCAAGTAAGAATAGAGGTGGTTTAAGTAATAATACTTGTTATTAATTGGTTAAATCCATCAGGTGGATATGTAATCTTTGTATTCCTGGCTGTGGATCTATTGATTGTATGTAATTTTTCTTCTTCTCTTGAGTTAGTTTGTTTCATCACAACATATTTTGTCATATGCTTAGTGTAAAATTCTCTTTTAACTTTAATTGAGATTAAAAAAGTTCAACTGCCTTCAGATTGTTTAAGTTTATAGGTACAAAATTGTAATTTGTATAGTGTGTGCCATACTGTAAAGATGAAGTGCATGAGGGAAATAATGAGATTGGGAAATGGTAAATATTAAGTACTGAAGTAATTCTTTGAGTTGTATGATATCTGATTCATAATAATAATAATAGAGCAGAATGAGAACAAGACAAGGAAAGAACCAAAAGGGAAATATTGTTTTATTGTTGACCTGTATCAGGTTGACAAGGTTGTGAATTTCACTCCTCCTGTAACTCCTGTAAACTGAAATAATTCCTTCCCTATTAAATAAGGGATGGACTCATAAAGAGTTATTGAAAGAATTGATGTGATGACATAGGTTATAACAAAAGGAAACTTAGTCTTATCATCACTGATATTTAGGCATGTATACCTTAGGGATTGGCAGGTAGAAACCTGGAATAAATATTGAAAATAATTTAACAAACACAAGGCAAATTGTCGCGAATAACAATTAAAAAAATAATAATAAATAATATTTTTTTATTTAAGTAATAAATTTACACAAGTGTATAAATAAATATATATATGTATATATACATTAATAATAATTATTTATTTGTACTGGTTAATAACTAAATTAATAATAAATAATTTAATAAATAATAACAATTTTTTTTTTTGTATGTTTTGCAATGACGCAATTTTTTTTTTTTTTTTTTTTTTAATAATAACAAACGAAGCAACTAAATACGAATGATAATAATAATATTATTATTATCATCGTCCGATAATAAAAAACGCTTAATTTAATAGTAATTATTATTATTATTATTATTATTATTATTATTATTGATTGGTAATAACAAAGCATTGATTGATCAAATTGTAAAATTATTTGTAATTAATTTTTTTAATAATAATAAATAAGTAATTTTTTCGTCGAGACGAAAGTTTAGTTGATGATGATGATGATGATGATAATGATGATGATTTTAATCGGTTATAATTAATTCACCAGGGCCTCCAAACGGATCCGTCGTCACATTCATAATTTTCTCTTCTGTGCAATGTAAAATCCAAAGGTTGATCAGAATTTAATAAACTGTCGCCGTTATCATCATCATCGTTTCTAAACGACGTGACGTCATCCGTCGTACCTGAATTTCTATTGGGAAGATCGATTAAATTAACTAAATAATTGTTAGAATTTTTACGTATGAAATCATGTTTAGAATTTGTTGTTGTTGGGTAATGAGAAGAAGAATTATTTTTATTCCCGGATGTTTGATTTCCCTGCTCTTCCTCTTCCTCCTCCTGCTGTTGGTGCTGTTGTTCACGGTGGTGTTGATGGTGATGTTGTATGTTATTTTTCGAATGGTTTGGGAGTAAAAGCACGACTTGCCCATCAGATAAACGAGTCGGAATCACCTAAAAAAAAAATATATGTATATATATATATTAACGAATCTGAAATTTCGGTTGCGACCGAACGGAAGAAATAAAAAAAAATTTTTTTTATTCTGCAGATAACAAAAAAAAAAAAAAAAGAGCAGACGATATTAACGACTTTTATCCCATCCACCACCCACCCCCGCATTTAAAAAAAAAAAAAGCAAACGTTTATACTTTGTTAAAACGTTCTCATTTCGAATGGAAACGTGGAAAAACCATCGACAATAAAAAAAAAAAAAAATTATTTAAAAAAAAAAAAAACAACAGTAAATAATAATAATAATAATAAAATTAATAAACATAATTTTTATATATATACATATACGTTTGTTTTGTTTTCGACAAAAATGGCCGAAAGAATAATTGAATTTTTCAGCAATTTATTTAAAATAGGAAAAGATCAAATTTTTGAAAAAAGCGGCGGATTATTAAGAAATTCTAAAATTCCAATGAAACCCGTTTTAGGTTTAACCGGTTTGGGCGTTTTGATAATTGCGGTTAAACCCCTTTTGGCCAACAACAACAACAACAACAGCAGCAGCAAACATCCAACGACACAATCAAACGAAATAGAAACATCGATTATAACCCATGAAAAACCTTCGGGTAAACTTAACGAAAATGAAGAATATAGTTTACAACGCACGCTTTATTTAATGAAAGAAAAGGAAAAAGAATTGAAAAAAATGTCGCAAAACGGACAGAAAGTATAAATAAATAAAATAAAAAAAAATGTCGATGAAACTAAAAAGAAAAACTACAAAAAAAAAAAAAAACTAAAGGATTTTTATTGTCGAAAATAAATTAAATTAGTGTAAACGCATTAAACAAATTCAAATAACGTTTAACTTATACATTAGTTTATCATTATCATTATTATTATTATTATTATTATTATTTATACATTTATTTACATTATATAATATATACATATATTTATATTAAAGGTTTTTTGAGAATTTTAATGTTTATTTTGGAAAATCACGTCGTATCGAAAATACCGGCTGGAAAAACTGGAAAAATTTCCGTCGCTTAACATTTGTGATGATAATGATAATGATAATGATAATTTTTTTTAATAAACGCTAAAGTGATAAGAGATTATTCTCAGTCGTATCCGTATCCGTTTTAGTCTAACTTTTCCGACCTAGTAGACGACGTAATTAGACGTGTTAAGTAGGGAAGAGTAAAAATGGCGTCGATTTTTTTGTTAATGCGGAAGTCGAAGGGGTTGGAAAGGGAGAGGGGGAAGAGGAAGGGATGAAGATAATGGAGGATTGAAATGAGTATATACGGTGGTACGTACCTGTAGAACAGAATATTGATTTTTGTAATTGTTTTCCGAATCTTCGTTTCCCCTTTTCATTCTCGTTTGATTATCGGCGGCGGTGGTTTTTAATATTTGATTATTATTATCACGTTTATCGAAATTTTCCACGTATGAATTTTCGTCGTCTGATTTTAATTTATTTTTCTCATCTTTGGCATTTAAAAAATTCAACATGATGGCTTTTTTTGCGGAAAAATATTTCGCGGGTACTTCCTGTAGCAAACTTCGCTTTTTGCTATATTTAATCGGTGAATTTAATTTTTTTATTTGAGCGTTCGCGAACGTCGACGACGACAACGACGATGTTGATGATGATGATGATGACGAATCGATATCGGAGGATGGTGATGATCGATTTGATATTTTCGGTGGTGGTAGCGGGGGTGGCAACGGCGGCGGCGGCGGTGACGTCAAATTAAATCTCGTCGCGGATGAATTATTATTATTTTCATCACCCTGAATCGTCGTGCTGCTGTCGGGTCTGTAAAAATTTTTACATGCGAAATAACACGTTCGTTTCATCACGGTCCGGTAGGCTTTCATCGGGGGTAGGGTGTGAAAGAGGCGGGAGAAGGAGAGAAAAGAGAGAGAGAGAGAAAAAAAATTAAAACCTTACCGTATGATTTCAGGTTCGGACTCGATGATTTTTCCATTGTTTTCCATATAATTTGCAAATTTAAAATTCAAATCTAGTTCTCCGAGACATTGTTCGAGATGTCTGAACAATCTTTGTTTAAGGGTTGAATCAATGGCGGGTGAAGGATTATTGATAACGTTCACGTCTGTTAGATTATCTAAAAACGTTTTAACTTCTTTCGTACACTCTTCAAATCCGGCTTTGTATTTATTTATTATATCCGCGTTTAATATTTTTTGACGTTGCAAGTGTCTAACGGTTAATTCCAATATGTCTGCTTTTTCCAATTTGGAATGTTTCGTGTTGTTTTGTTCGGTTTTCGTCGAATCCAATATCAATGCTTTGAGTATTGCTAGGGATTGATTGATTCTCGCTCTCCTCCTTTTTTCCATAAGCGGTTTGTTTATCTAAATTTTTTTACAATTTTGTGTCGAAACATTATTATTATTAATCAACCGGAAATTGAGATTTTTTTTTTTCTCAGAAATTTAGGGTGGGTGGAGGAGACGAAGGTTGGTTGGAGAAGGAGAAACGTAATAATTATGACGCACTTACCCTTCTTCCATCGTTATTTCCTTTACCTAAAGGCGAACCGCCATTTCCACCGGAAGTATCTTTTTCTCTATGTATTTTATTATTATTTTTTCTCTGTATTAAATTTTGATGGATTTGTATTAGATTATTATCGGGTCTTTCGGATTTCAACGACATTTTTCCATCTTCCGAATTACTCGTTAACGTTTTTAATAATTTTTCCGTTATCGTTCCGCCACCCATTTTTAATTTTTATTTTTCACTTCCTATACGATCGCGATTATTTCGGGTATTAATTAATTAAAAAAAAAAAAAATTTTTTTTTATTTTTAAAATATCAAAATGTTGTTGTTTAACGTCTTCCGACAGATAATTAAAAAAAAAAAAAAAATTCACGATGACATTTAAAACGTTTATTTAAAAAAAAAAAAAAAAATTCCCCGTTCGTTACACTTTAATAATAAAATTAGAAAACTCCCGGAAAAAATTGTTTGTTGCCAAAAAAAAATTTTTTTTTTTTTTTTTTATTACAACACACACACACACGCTCACGCACTCACGCATACACTCACGCACACACACGTTTTCACACGCATTAACACAAAAACAAACACGCGAAAAATTGTTTTTATATATATATACGAATCGCGAACGTTTTTCGAAATTTATTTTTAATTCCGTGTTTTTATTTTTTTTATAAATTTAAAAAAAAAACGAACGTTAGACGAACGGTTGGTTAATAAAAACTAAAACGACGACAAGTATAAAAAAAAAAACAACCCCCCCGAGAAATTAAAAAAAAAAAAAAAAAAAAAAAAAAAAATTTACGAGAAACGCACGAGGATAAGTTTATACGGTAACTGGTCGACCGCCGCCGCCGCCACCACTTTCTATCTGATTTGACATTTTCTATCTTTCAACGCCCTGGTCTGTTTGGTTCACAGGGGTTCCCACTTTTTTTTTTTTTTTTTCTTTTTCTTTTTCCGGTTTTTGTGGGATTATTAATATAATCGATTTTCAGGGTTGACTACTCGATAACAAAATCTCTAAACTTTTGACACGTGCCTTATCCGATACGCAACGACGACGACGACGACGACGATGACTACGACGCCAGGGGTGGTTAAAATTATTTTTCCCTTCTCTCTCTCTCTTTCTCTCTCGCCCTCACCCTCGCCCCCGTTCTCTCTCTCGCTCTTCATCAATACAAAATTCGTATTTATATATATGTAGTTTATTCTTTTTATTTAAACCCGCGTAACTTAACGGGTGATAATCGATCGATCGATCGATCTATCGATTTTAAAAAAAAATTATGGATAGTTATGTGTTAATCACGTGGTTTTTTTTTATTTAAATGAATATAAAATTCCAGTTTGATGAAAACTGGAGAAAATTTTTTTTTTATGACTTAGGATGAAAAGAAAATATTTTGTACACCACTACACGAAACCTTTTGTCTCTTTCTCTTTTCTTGGCCTCTTTGTCTCACCTTTTGACGCCCAGACAATGACACGAGCGGTCTGCACGCTAAATTCACATCAACCTTTCTTACATATATATATTTTTTCTTTTTTTTACTCAACGGCTATAGTTTTAAATTTAAAGAATTTTCTAGAAAAATTTTTCTTATTTAGATTATTTGGATATCTTTTCTATCTCACTATCTATCTCTCTCTCTCTATCTCTCTGGATTGTCAATTTTTTTTCCCATAAGGTTTAGTCCGAAAAAAAAAAAAAGAAATCGAAGAGAGAGAGAATATAAAAGTCATGAAAAGTTTATAAAAAAGCTCATTTCGAACTTACTATTATTATTATTATTATTTTTTATTAACTCTTTATGACGTATACTACTCGTTATTATTATTATTATTTTAACGGGTGGCGTTGTCAATAATTATTGATAAGGGATTTTTAAATGATTTTTTTTTTTCCGAAGGGAGGATTTCGAAGTTTCGATTTAAATTTGATTTTTTTTTTTTTTTTCGAAACGTTCATCGGGTAAAATTTTTTTTTCCCGTTATAATGATTGATCGATATGTCGTTAATTATCCCTCCCCCCCGAAAAAAAAAAAATTTCCATTGCTCTTTCCCCTTTTCCTCCCGAAAAAAAAAAAAAAAAGTCCCAGGATTCTTTCCCCAGGATTGTTGACGCACCCGCCCGGTTGAGGTCATACACGTTTTGTTGTTCATTCATCGTGAATATAACAAAAAAATTGTGTGACGAAGCACGAGCCACCGACATTCTCTTACACTGCAGGAACTTTTTTTTTTTTTTTAAAATTATTCTCACCCTTTTTTCTCATCTTCATCTTCTTCTTCTTCATCTTCTCATCATCATCTTCTGTTGAAAGAAAGAAAGAAAGAAAGAAAGAAAGAAAGAAAGAAAGAAAATATATATAAATTTAAAAAAAAAAAGAGACGACGCAGAACGAAAATCATAAAAAACAACAGGAATATTATGAGATTATTATCATTAATAATAATAATAATTCGATGATTATTTTCGCGGTTTTATATTACACACATATATAAAATAATATGGCGGTTAAGTAGAAGAAGAAGGAAAAAAAGCGTGAAAAAAAAATTTTTTTTTTTAAATGGGTTAATCCAATAACAAAAAAAAAAAAAAAAAAAAAAAAAAGGAAAAGAAAAGAAAAGCTCGAAACTGAATTCTGCATTGCGTGTCATATATATTTAAAAAAAATCAGAAATGAGGCGTCACTTGGGCTGTCGCGTGCCGCCGTTGGAAAAAATCAAAAAAAAAAATTCTAAAAATAATTTCGAAAAAAAAAATTTTTTCTAACACCGCCAGATTTTTTTTCCCCCAAACAAGAAATATATTTACATATAAATTTTTTTTTTTTTAAAAAGATTATTATTAATGATAATAATGTTATTATTAATTAAAGCAAAACCCAAACGACAGCAAAATAATCGAGAGGGAGAGAGAGAAATAATTTTTCCAAATTGCGTTTGTGTGTGGTAAGAAGAACCTAAAAAAAATTTTCAATAATCGAAAATAAAATTGAAGGGAGAGAGAAAGGGGGAAGGGGAAGGGGAAACCTTTTTGTAAACAAAACGTACGAAAGGTTGTCTGCTAATAAAAATTGTAAAATTTAAAGTTATACGTGGCGTAAGCCTTTTTTTTTGAAATTCGTAATCGTTCGAACTCGATAGGAAAATGGTGGCGGAGGCGGTGGTAGAAGCGACGATAACGGGAAACAAATGAAAAAGGTGAAAATGCCGACGATGAATCGACGACGTGACAATGGAAAAAGATGAAAATTCGAAGAATGAAAAAAGGAGAGAAAGAAAGAGAGAGAGAGGGGGAGAGAAAGGAAAAAGAAAATGAAAAATTGGAAAATACATGTGTTTGAATTCGTGCTTTTTTTCTCCATTTTTACATTCGATTCTTGGGGAGGAAAAAAGAAAAAGATTCGAAAGGAAATGTAGGAGGAAGAAAAGGAAAGAGAGAGAGAGAGAAAATGAAAAAAGGAAGTGAGAGAGAGAGAGGGATAGAGAGGAAAACTTTAACGTAAAATAATTTTTTTTTTTTTTTTATTGAAAATTTCAAACGAATTTTTTCTTTTTTTTTTTTTTTGAATTAAAATAAAAATTTTTTTGCCTGATACCTGAAAAACGTGGCACAAGATAGAAAAAAAATAAAAATTGATAAGGGTAGGGGGAAGGGGGGGAAGAAAAACTCGTGGCATTAAAATAAAAATAAAAAATTTTTTTTTTTCTCAAAACAATTTTATTTACGCAACATTAATTAAATTTTTTTTTTCTTGTTTTTGTTTGTTTCGTACAACCGACCGACACACCAACCAACGGATCAACCACTACTGCAGTGTAATAAATTCGTCAACGTTTGTTTATTTATTTATTTTTATAAAAAAAAAAAAAAATGAAAATAAAAATAAAAAGCAAACAAAATAAATTCAAATGATTGTTGTTCGTTATGAATGTTTGTTGTACGTTTCTCCTCCTCCCCCCATTCGTTATTATTATTATTATTATTATTATTATTATTATTATTATTATTAAGAGTTTGCGTCATAATTTATTATTCTGTATCTTCGTATAATGGAGGAATTTCACGTCTTTCCAAAACGAACCAATAATTACAATCGCATCGTCTGGGTACTCCTTCTTCCACGATGAAAGTGTTATGAGCCACGCCGTCGTCGCATATGCAATAAACAACTCTAAAACTAGCATACGATGGCACGATGTTCGGACATTCTTTCGTACCTGGTCCTCTGGGTACAGGTTTTTGTAAATATGGATCCAAGTTTCCTTTTGCACATTGAACGGCTTGCCATCTGTCTTCTCCTGTTGCTAATTCCCACCAGTGAGGACATCTTCTTCCACATCCTTTACTCGTGTGTATAAATTTTTTACTTAACGGTAATAATCTAAAATTAAAAAAATTTTTTTTTTTTTTTTTTACTCACTCAAAAAACAATGATGATAATAATGATAATAATAATTACCCTTTTTTTATAAACAAATTCATTTTGTAAAAAAAAGATTTTTATGTTGTTATTGTTTTTTGGTTATGTTTCGTTAATTACAAATAAATTCGATCGTTTTTTTTTTTTTTTTTTTTTCAAAATGGCCGACGTGGAATCATGTTTTTCTTTTATTTTTTTTAAGTAGAATATTATTATTATTATTAGTAGTAGTAAGTGTAATTAATTGGTGATTAATGTTGAGTAATAATTAAATTTCAAAATTTTTGAATGTTTTTAATTATTTAACGTTGAAATGGCGGCTTTAAAAAAAAAAAAAAATATTTTTCTTTCACGAATGATGACGTCATTTCCTATCGGGCGGTATATTTAAATGCGGGGAATTAAACAAAAATAAATAAATTTTCTGACTTTTTTATTTTTTTTGCCGTTGAAAGGTTTCAAAAATTTTAAATAAAATTCACGATGATAATAATAATGATGATGATGATGATGATGATAATAATAATAAAAGAAAAAAGGGGAAGAAAATGCGTGGAAGATAAGGAAGAGATTTCGTAAAAATAAATGAAAAATCCGTTTTATTATCGAGTGAAAGAAATAAGGGAAGGAAAGGAAAGAAATGGGGGCGTGAATGGAAGAGTGGGAAGGAAGGGAAGGAAAGAAAAGCGTGGGATAAGGAAAATTGGAGAAAAAAAAAAAACTAAAAATGAAAATTTTTTCGAAAACAACGGATGCGGTGGGAAAAAGTCTCAAAATGGGGAAAATAATTTCGATAATCGGGGAAAGGAGGAGGAGGAGAAAAAATATCACACGCCACACGAAGCGATGGAATCGCGTGGAAAACCTTGGACGACCCACATTTTCATTTGTTAAAAAAAAAATCTGGAACGGAACTTTCTGGAATTAGAAAAAAAAAAAAAAAAAAAAAAAAAAGAAAACCCCGAATGCTCGAAATAGTTCGCGTGAAAATGACGCCGTGTTGATAATAATAAACCAGTGAATAAAATTATTATTATTATTATTAAAATCGAATGATATAAATTTTATTTATTTATTGTATTTATGTATTTTATAATAATAATAATAATAATAATAATAATAATTAATAAATATTTATATTATTATTATCGCTTATCACTATATGAATAATAATTGGTCTCTCGCGATTATAACAAATTAAAAATTTATTATTTTAAAAATTATTAATAATAATTAATGGTTAATAAATAAATAAATAAATCTATTCACCACACACCCGATATATTTAATAAATAAAATAAAAAATTATTTTTTTATTTTTATTTATATGAAATTCGAATGTTGTTTAATAACAAATTTAAATATGCTTGTTTTTTTATTTATTTATTTAATTATTAATTACAGGCCCGTATCAACAATAATTATTTATTAAAACGTTTGAATAAAATTTGATATATATATATATATATATATATATATATATATATATACTGAATTATTAATAATGATAATATATATATATATAATATGACAAAAACGATATGTACAAAATATTTCGAATTTAAAAAATCTTTAAAAATTATTATTATTATTATGATTGTTATTCAAAAAAAAAAAAAAAAAAAGTTAAAATTTTATTTTAACGTGCGTTAACTTTAATTAAAAATAAGTGAGAAAGAGAGAGAGAGAGGGAGGGGTAGTGAAAGAGAGAGAAAGAGATGGAAAAAAATGGGAGAGAATACGTTAAAATTTTTTTTTTAAATTTACGATTAAATTATTGCTATAAATGTCGTTTGTTTCATCGATCGATGAATTGCAGCAAAAAAAAGTGTTGTAATTAGAGCAAATTTATTTATTAAATAAATAAATTAAATAATCACGTGTTTGATTAATAATAATAATGATAATTTTAAAAAATTTTATTAAAGTAAGACCAATTAATTAAAAATGGTGGCACAATATAAAAATTGATAAAATTTTTTTTTTTTTTTATTTGTTGACGTCACAGGTTCAAATACCGTTAATTTATTTATTTATTTATTTTTCGAAGGTTTTAAGGCACAGGTTTTATTTTTTTTCGTTTAATCGAAGTGTGATAAAAAAAAAAAAGAGAGGGATTTTTTTTTTGTATTCGTTAAAGATAAAATTTATTTGCTTTGAAATGAACCTTTGCCAAACCTTTGGACGTTTCCAACCAACTTCTCGGTCTGGGTTTACGTTCTTGAATAATCAAACCGGAAGTTTCCCTTTCACCCGATTCGTAACTTTTTCTCCTGTAATTAACGTTATCATTATCGTTTGTACGACTTGAAAATGATAAGGAATCGGATTTTAATGTCGGTGATCTCGTAAACGTCGAATAGAAAAACATTTTTTTTATGTTGTCGCAATTAAAATTTGATGTTAATTGACTGGAGGGTAGGAAAACGTCGCTGCTCATCGTGGTTGTTGGACTACCTAAGGTATCCTCTTCCTCTTCCGATTGTGTTATTTTTTCAAATTTTTTATCGTCGCCATTTGTAAATGGAAACGTCGTCCATTTTTTTTTAGCTTTATATATTCTGTGATTTTTATTACCGAATAGCAATATCGATGTCGTTTGCGTGGATTTATTTGACGTTTTCCTTTTGTCTTCTGCTTGTTTATCCAAAACGTTTCTCAAATTCGGAATCGATAAAACTTTATCGGGTGATATCATTTTTTCCGATAGTAAAAATTCACTCTTGCTCGGATTTATATTCGATTGCCTTTGAAGTTTTTTAAGTTTTTTACGAGGTGGAGATGGAGGAGGTTTCGCCGTGTTTTCTTCTTTTACGACGATTCGTTCCGAATTGTTCCTGTTGTTTTGGGCATTTTGTGGTTTATCTTCGTCCTTAATAAATTTGATAAAAAAAAATTTTTTTATTAGTCAACAAAAAATTAAAATTAATCCTTTGTTTTCAAACAACCCACCTTAAACAAACTGTTATCGAGAAGTGCTTGTTTTGCAAGATATCTTTCACGTCTTATTTTAATATCGACTTTAGGTGGTACGTCTGCTACGAAAACGTCAATGAGTCGACACACGGTAAAAACAAAATACTGTAATGATAATACGTTATCAGTATTAAACGATGGAATGTTTGATTAACGCAAGGAAGAAAAATTTTTCATACCTCGAATGCCAAAACGAAAGCAAATTGCACGGCGAGCAATTTCCAAAAAAACATTGTGTAATTTCCGTTTTCGTCTCTTTGACCTCTGTACCTGCATCTTTCCGTATATGTGCCATTGGGAGCCCAACTCAATATGAAATCGTAGTAACCTTTTTCCGACCAATTGTATTCGTATTGATAAAGAAGTTTCATTAAAAATCTTGACGTGAAGGCGATAAGTAGTCCCTGGAAAAATAAAAATTTTTATCAGGAGAGGAGAAAAGAAGGAGGTGGATTTATTTTCAAAACTCACGTTTGTTATCACGGCTATGTGAGCTAAATATTGTAATATTTTAAACCACATTCCTATGTCTTCAGTTCTTTCGGGTATGACTCGTCTCGTGTGACAAACAAATTTTTGCGCATCCAATCTTATTTCGACCCAATTATTTAGTAATGCGAATAAAGGAGCAAGTGGAAAAGCAGCGACAAAAAGTGTTATGAAACCAAATTGTAAAACTGAAAATAATTTATCGATGAGAGAAACATAAAAAGTTATGAAAAATGGTAGAGCGTTTCGGGTTGGTACCCACCCATTTCGAGATATTCTTGAAATAAGCCATCGTTTGGAGACGTGTAATAATCTTCTTGTATTTGTATGTGTTCAGAATTTGAATTTTTACTATTTTTTCTTTTCACTTGTATTTTCAACCACCACGATTTCGCCCAGGGCATACCAACTTCCATGAAATTATTAATAACTTGTTTACCGATCATTATTATGGCTAACTGCTGTGCCAATTCTATTAAACATCCACCTTCTTCGCACTGTAAAATCCAATTAAAACGATAAAATAATCGTTATTAAAAATTATTATTATTATTATTATTACAACTCACTTCTTCGTTTCTCATATTGAATATGTAAACGTAATTTCCCGGATAACCCACGAATCTTCCTTTGAAAAATGCTATGTAAAATATGGAAGAATAAAAATTGACAAACTGGAAAACGAAAACTTTAAACGTGTAATTATCATCGTATTCCGATTGAGTCCGATGCATTTCTGTTAACAAAAAAATATTATTATTATTATTTTTTTTTCTCCAGCTCTTTCCAGTGCGGATTTTACTCACCCCAACGAGTTAATTTTTGCGCGAGCCATTCGTAAAATTTACTCATTATCATAATAATAATAAAATTAAGTCCGGCTCCGGTTAAATTGGCCATCGTGTGTGCGTAACCTCTCGTCATGTTCATGTTATGAAGTGGAATGGCTATGGCTATTCTGAATACTATTATCGCAAATATAAATATTATAACGACTGATATCTGTAGTAAAAAAAAGTGGCAGTAGTTTAAAGTGGTACAAGACGACGACGACGACGACGACGTGATTAAAAAAAAAAAAAATTAAAAATCGTACCATGACAAAAACTAAACCCAAACCGGTCGCGATTCTTTTTCCTCTTTCGTTTTTTGGAAACATTGGTTCTCTGACTCCAGTAACTGGATTAACGGCTATGTATGGAGCTTTGGCAGCATATTCGGCTCTAGGTTTTTCTTCAACTCCTTGAAAATCCGTACAATCCCATTGATATGCAATCGTGACGCATTTTCTTTTCCAGTATTCCAAAAATGAAACGGCTGTAAGATTAATAATAATGATAGTATCGCGTTCGATTATATTTTCGTTTTCATTTTTTTTTTTTTTGGTTATAAATAAATAAATAAAAAAGTGCATCACGCCATTTTCTAATTTTATAACGTGACATAATAACCGATTTTCCCTTTCTTTAAAAATTCAATTAAAAAAGGTGGAAAAAAGGGGAAAAATTTACCCCAAAAACTAATAAAAATGGAATAAAAAACGCTTCCAGGATGATCGAATAAATAAGAGATTCGTATGTAAGTGCAAATATCGTATAAATCCCAAAATTTTCCAAATTCGTGTTGCGGACACATTTTATATTTTCCAGGTTTTTCGCAAACGTCGTTCGCATAAGGATTATCAAAAACCGTTATTAATCCGTATAGGAAAACTAAAATTCCGACGGCAGCTGCTGGAAAAAGCCAAGACGTGTAAAAACCTGAAATAGAAAAAAAAAATTAATAAATTGTTTTTTGGTGTTGCTGTTGTTATTATTGTTCCAGATGTTGCCGTCGAATGCTTTTGATTTTTATCGCGTTTTTTTTGTGATTTTCTTACCCAACCAAGCAAAATAAAATCCGACTTTTTCTCCAAAATAATTTCTTATATGATCCAGCGGTTGATACTTGTACCATCTTCCCCATCTCGCCCAATATTCGTATAAGATTTGACGAGGATTTAATTCTTCTGGATTTTGTATTATGTTTTCTTTTTTCTCCGGTAAATAAGGGCCCTGGAAAAACATGGAAAAAAAAACAAAAAATAAATTCATTCTTGTTTCTGATTGGTCGAATTGCTCGGTCCTTTTGTTTAAATTTTATTTCATCGACGTTTAATTTTTCTTTTTTGTCTCTCTGTCTCTCTCTCTCTCTCTCTCTTGTTTTAATTAATGAAACGTGGATTTGTTCGCATTCCAAAGCATACAAAAATTCATTATTATCATTATTATTAAAAAAAAATTGTTTGCGTTTGTGTCCGTTTTGATTTTGCAATTTTTTTTTTTTTTTGCGTTGTTTCTTTCATTGTTTTAAAAGTTATCGTGTGCGTAAACATTTATTCGATAATAATAATGATAATATTTTTAAGCTTACGTCGTGTAACGGGTAGGCAGCATTGAAAACACCTTCGTGTACTAATCGATTAATTCCAACTTCTCCTTTTCTTTGAGTTCCAAAAACGGCACTGGAAAGTACTTCGTTTACAATCCAAATCCTTTGAATCGTTGTAAAATACGTGTCTTTGTTTTCGCTCCCTAAAAACCTATTAATAAGAAAAAAACAAAAAAAAGGTAAACTAATTTCCTATTTAAATAACATGAAAATTTAACCCCGATAATAATAATAATAATAATAAGTCACGCAACTCCCCAAAAAAAAAAAAAAAATTTTTTTTCTCATGTTCACCTGTGAAGTTTGTTCTCTCGAAAAGGACAAGTGTAAAAATGTAAGGGTTGAGTCGGCATCGTTAATTCCATTGGATTCGTTATACCGAAATATTTTAAAAAAGTATCCGAACCGTTTCTCAAATCTGATTTTTCCGTTTTTAACTGAAACAAAAAGGGGGGGATTCATTTCAATCGTGGTAGGAAACAAACGAACAAACAAACAAACAAACAATTTGTACCAATAGAGGTGCTCTCAAATTGAGTTCTTCGGCGTATCGACACAAAACCGGCCACGTTGCATGGATTTTAAGGAAAATGAATGCTTTTTTCCCATGTTCGATAATTTCTTCTTCTATTTCCAAACCTGATTTTTTAATATTTGTCAAAAACTGATTACGCCACTGTTCTTTTTTAGATAAGTCGATATTGTCTTGACTCAAGATGTTGGTTATTGATTCCGTTGCTATCTTGTCGAGACTTTTTCGCTTTTTCGGATCTTTTGTCACGACGAAAAATGAAAGATGAAAATAATAATAATAATAATAATAATAATTAATTAAAATTTCACACGAGCTTTTATATTAACTAATAATAATAATGATGATGATGGTGAGAATGATGATGATGATGATGGTGATCGTTTGAACTTTACTTTTGACATTTAAAAAATAAAAAATAATTTTTTTTTGTTTTTTTGTTTTTGTTGTTTGTCCAGGAGGACGAAATTTTAAATCTGTGATGATGATAATAATGATAATAATGTTGTTTTAAACAAACAAACAAACAGAATAAAAAATTCACCTTCGAGATTTTTAGTGAATACCAATACGTAATCGATTTTTCGTATTCCATCGGAAAAATAAATGCTGTTACCGAGTTTATCCGGTACCTGTGCGAATTCTCTACATCTTTCGTAATATAATGGAAGATCGTTTGAATCCTGGAAAATTAAAAAAAAAATGATGACGATAATAATGATGATAACAATGAGAAAATGGTATTAAAAAAAAAAAAAAAACGAACAATGTGAAGGAAAAATCTAGAATAATTATCAACGGATCTTTTACACGATCCAAATCTTTTGATTCTTCTCCTCGTGTTGATTCGTGCGATTCCCTGTTGAATCCAATTTTGTGATTTTTGATTTTGTTCCTGTCGGTTGTTGCTGCCGTTGTTGCTGTTGCTGTTGTTGCTGTTGTTTTTACAATCGATTTCGCAAAATTCAACTTTATCCGTTGATTTAACCCATGCTGTCGACATGTCGTCATCTCTTTTTATTTAAAAAAAACAAACGAGGAAATTATTATTATTATTATTATTTTTTGAAATTTTATGCGCGAAATGACAGAGAGAGAGAGAGAGAGAGAGAGAGAGAGAGGGGAGAGAGGAAGAGAGAGAGAGTGAGTGAAAAAAAGAAAGAAAGAAAATCGATAAATTTGTGTTTTTTTTTTACCTGATTCGTCCATTTAAAAAAAAATTTTCTTTTCATTCAGAAAACATTTTTTTCCTTTTATTATTTACCGTTTAAAAAATTATTATTACTATTTTCGTTATTATTATTATTATTATTATTATTATTATTAAAACCTTCTAGAAATTTTCGAGTGGTAACGATGATGACGTCGTGTTTTTGCTAACGATAATAATATTTACATGACGAAACCCGAAGTGAAACTAAAAGTTTTTCCTCTTTTTTCCTTTTTCTCTTTTTCCTCGTTTCCCTACTACGAGTTACTGCATAGGATCTTGCGCCATATTTACACTGCGCAAATCTTTTTTATTCCCTTTACCGCCCCGACACCACCACCCCCCACCTGGTGTTCCTGTTGCTCCTACTACTACTACTACTACTATCTCCCGTTTTCTCGTAGGTTTCGTTTAAAACGTGAAAAATGTAATTAATTAATTAATTAATTTTATTAACCGAGTCTCGTACGAGTAAAAATTTTTTTTTTTCCATAATAATAATAATAATAATAATAATAATAATAATTATTATTATTATTATTATTATTAATGTTTCGATCGATGGAAAATTTTTAATTAAAAAAAAAAAAATTATTTTGTTTATCGACGACATCATTGATAAGATTAAGAAATAAATCAAATTTTTAATAATAATTTTTATTATTATTTATTATATCCGATTAATAAAATGAATTTATTTATTAATAAGATGTCACGGATTTACATAAATAAATAAATAAATTAATTGCAGTTGTTAAAAGTTAATAAAAGAAAAAGGAAAAATTTTTTTTTTAGCTCGTTACGATTTCGCACGTTGTTTCTTATTATTATTATTATTATTATGCCGTGGAAAAATAAAAAATAAAATTTTCGTTTAAACGTCAAAAAAAAGGACAAGTCAAAGGAAGGAAAGTTCTAGAATTACTTTAAAACGTTGGGCGGGCCAGGGTTTAGGAAGGAAGAAGAAAAAAAAAACGAAAAAAAAAAATTTTTTTTTTTTTTTTTAAAAATAAATTATTTAAAATTATTATTGTTATTATTATCATTATTATTGTGTCAGTTAGTCCAGGACTGATGTGTAAAAAAAAAACAGAAGGTAAAAAAAAAAAATGGGAATGGGAATGAAAAAAAAATTTTTTTTGATTTTCCGATGAAATTCAAGAAGCTTTTGTTTTTGTTTTTTGTTTTTTGTTTTTTTTTTTTTTTTATTAAAAAAAAGTAGAAAGCGTTAAGTTTAAATCAGGTGCGAATTAAGGAATTGTTCTTTTTCTTCCCCTCTCCCCCCCCTTTACTCTCATTTCGATGATTTTCTCTCTCTCTCTTTTTTTTTTTTTAATGAAAAAATGAAAATTTAAAAAAAAAAACGTTTTTGTTTTTATTTTCTTTTGTTTTTATTTTTTATATTAAAATAACGAAATCGATTTTTATCTGATTGGTTTTTTAATAATAATAATAATAATAATGATAAAATTTATAAAAATAAACTTTTGGGGTTTAAAAAAAGGGGGGAAGGGAAGGGGTGGGATTTATTGCGTTTAATAATAAAAATTAAAGTTTTAATTAAATTAATTAATTAATTAAGGAAATTAAGAGACAGACAACAAAAGGAAGACAAAAAAAAAATTTTATTGTATTTTTTTTTATTTTTGCTCTTGATAATAAATATGGAATGTCGGGGGTGTTTTTTTTTTTTTTTTTTTTGCATAAGCACGTGTCGGGAGTTGATTCATTAAATGTGGTAAAAATGTTTTTATTATTGTTGTGTACACATGTAGTGACAGATTGCGACATCTTACGGACATTCGACGCACTTGATGAATAAACTGCTCGTGAAGTTTTAAATTAGTTCATTAATTTTGACGCGCGCAGCGCTAGCGTCGTGGTATTTACATACGGTGATAAATTGCGACATCTTACGGACGTTTGACGGACTTGATGAATAAACTGCTTCTGTAATATTTAAAATTAGTTTTTTAATTTGACACGCGTAGCGCTAGTGTCGTTTCATTTACATCATTTTTGTGTAAAACGGAAAATTAATTCGTGACTTTTCTTTTTTTTTTTTTTTTTTTTTCTTATTTTTGGTTGGGGTTGTTTTTGTGTTTTTTCCGTTCAGGACGGGAATCGTTTTAAAACGACACATTAAAAAAGAAATAATAATAATAATGGAAAGAGAAAAAGGAAAAGAAAAGAAAAATACGTGAAAGGTTTTATGTAAAATCCAACAACACGTGCTTAAATAAAAAAAAAAAAAAAGGAAACAAACGACGACAAATTTTTTTTTTTTTTTTTTTTTAAATCGTAAAAATTAAAAAGGTTTCAAATAATTCGCGGTAGGATAAACGACTGTCTAAGATTATTAGAAAAGCTCATCTTAGAAAATAAACAAGGATTTAGCCAAAGGGAAAATGAAAAGGAAAAGAAAAAAAACTCTTTTCCATAAACTCTTCATTTTAAACTCAAGTTATAACGTCAACAACAACAACAACAAGAAAAACAAGAAAAACAAAAACAGGAAGAAGAAGAAAAACAAAACACGCGGAAAAATATTACAAAAAAAAAAAAAAAAATTAAAACGTTTCAATTAAATTTAAAATTTAAGTGGAATAAGAAAAAAAAAAAAAAATTTATTATTTTTTGCTCTTGTTTACCGATGCGAAAATTCAAAAAGTTATTAAACAGAGACAATTTCCTGATATGAATAACAAAATATACGTCATTAAACATCCTCCCTCCTCCTCCTCCCCTCCTCTTCCTCCTTCTCTCTCCCGTTAAATAATTATTTGACAAAATTAAATAGAGAAATTTTTTTTTTTTTTTATACAAAAGTAAACGGCAGCAAATTTTACGAAAAATTTAATTTAATTATTTTGCTGTCGTTTTGTTTCAAAAAAAAAGAAAATTATCCTTTTTTAAAAAAATAATTATTATTATTATTAGTTTTTTACTTTGTTTGACCTTAACCTTTTTTTTTTTTTAATAATGGGTCAAATAATATTTTCAATTTTTTTCTTATCATCGGTTTAAACATGTCAGACATTTTGATAAAAAACGAGAGAGAGGGGGGAGGGAGAGAGAGAGGAGGAGAGAGAGAGAGAGGAGGAGAGAGAGAGAGAGGAGGAGAGAGAGAGAGAGATTCAAATCAACAGCAACAGCAACATCGTTTCGCGACCCTTGACTATTTTTATTGAACACCTTTTTTTTTTCCCCCACAGGTCACGTGATGTACATCCCGTCGAGAATTATTATAGAAAAATCAGGATTCGAATCAAATAAAGGAGGAGGTGGTTTAGCACTTTTTGGGGGGGGGGTACTTATCGAGGAAGAAGGAAAAGAAGAAATGTTTAGGGGATGTTTCCTGTTTCAAGGTCAAGAGGAATAAGAAGGAATACACGTGAGTATGTACCTTGCCTTAGTATTGTTTCTTTATGATATCAAAAGGGATGATTGAAAATATTTTTAAGGGTTTGAGTAGATCGAATGAAAAGAAAATATTTCGGGTGATTAAAAGAAAGAGAGAGAGAGAGAGAGGGAGAGGGGGTGGGAAAATTGATTTTTGATGGAAACCAAAAACGTTGCGGTCACTTTATCATTTCTGTCCATTCCTTCCATTTCTTCTTCTTCTTCTTATCACTCGGTTGCAATTGAGTCCTTAAAGAAATTCCAATAAAAGCTCGAAACCACCACTGAGGATCCTTCTATCGCATTTCTTTCTTCCCTCAGGAGAGAAATGTTTTTATTTCATATTTATTCCCTCATTTTTTTTTTTTTTTTACAACATGAGACCGACATTAATAAACTCGACGCGGTACTCATCAAAATTAAAACTTTTATTTTTTTTTTTATATAAAAAAAAAAAAAAATTTTTTTTAATCAAAAGTTTTTATATAAATTTACTCCTCGTTTTTTTTACTTTGTTACATAATAAATTATTAGACTTTGTTTTTTTTTAACATTTTTTTTTTTGAATATAAAAAAATTTACTTTTATGTTTTATAGAGACTATAAACAATTCTCAAACCATTGAAACCATTTTTTTTTTTTTTTATAAATGCGTCGACACGAATAAATTTTTTTTTTTTTTTTTTTTACTATAATATAGTATTTCATAAATATTAGTCGTAACAACAATTTTCACTTATAATCGCGACAAAGTATATGTTTTCGTTGACATTTTTTTTAGTATATTCGTTTCACGTTCTTACCTGAACCCTAAGGAATAAATGTAATTGTGGTGGTGCCTGCGGTTGGAGGTGATGCGATCCATATTCCAGGATTTCCTGATTCTAAAAATTTTTGTTGACCACGTCTTCTGATGTTCCCACGTTCCAACAGTTCTGTCTAAGTGTATTTATTGGCTGTACAGAACTGTCCTGTATTTTTCCACCCTTTGGTAACCTCCTCTGCCTCATAATCATGATTAGGCATCCAATAGTGATGTGACAAATTCGACACATATCATCTTGACTTGGTCGGTTATGATAAGAGCTTCCGTTTCCATTTTTTAAATTCCAGGCCGTAACCAATTGTTTGTGTTCTTAGTGTCCAAAGCATTTACTCTTTTTAAACATTGCCCATGCGACTTTTTCTGTTTTCTAGTTTCTTCTGAGATCGGTCTTGCTGTCGTAAGTTTCAAGCTCCCATTTCTTTTTCCTAGTATTTTCCGACGGTTTGTTTCACTCTTTTAAGGACTCCTCTCTTTTCTTCGTTATTTTTTCTTCCATCTTTTTTTTTTTTGCTTCGTTTAACACGTACTACTACTACTACTACTACCGCTACTATTATAAAGTTTAACGGATGAAAATGCTGTAGTTTTATTATATAAAATTCAAAAAAAAAAAACTTTTTCCGCACTTTTTTCCCCTCCTTTAATTTTATTTATCTTAGTTTTCTTTAGTATTTTTAGTTTTTGTTTAGTTTTCTAGTTTTCTTACTATTTTTTTTTTTGGTTTTATTGTCGGTTTTTTTTTTTTTTTTTTAGTAAAATAAAATAAAATAAAATAAAAATAAATCCGCGTTAAAAATCGTTTTTATTTTATTTTTATTAAAATGACATTTAAATAATGGAAACAACGATTTTTTGTTTTTTTTTTTTATTAACTTTATTTTTTAAGTTTGGCAAAAATAAAAAAAAAACATTTTGTGACGTCGTCTGTTTGTTGTCTTTAAAAAAAGGCAACAAACATACAAACACAAGTGCACGTGTACGCACATAAAAAAAAAGAAAGAAAAATTCGATATTGAAAAATAGTTTTTTTTTTTACAATTTTATTTCCATGTTTTACTTGTCACAAAAGATTTTTTAAAGTCTAAAACTGAAAGAGAGAGAGAGAAAGAGAACGGGAAAAAGTAAGAGAGAAAAAGAGAGAGAGAGAGAGAGAGAGAGAGAGAGAGAGAGAAAAAATCCTCATTCGATGTAGAAAAAACGATAAATTAAAAAAAAAAAGCAAATGTCTTCATCAATGATCTAATGCCACGTCGTTATAAGGGATAATTTCATGTCAAATAATAAAAAAATAAATCAATGATCGTAATTTAAAATAATCAATCAATCAGTTAATCAATCAATTTTGAATTTTTTTTTTTAAAATATGTGATGTAATAATAATAATAATAATGAAACAAAAATAAAAATAAAATAATAAAAATTTTTTTTTTCTTTTTTCTTTCGTCGTTCGATAAACGTTTTCATTTTACAAAAAAATTTTTTTTTTTTTAATTTACTGGAATTCGCTGCTGGAAGGGATGGAAATAAAAAAAAAACAATTTTTTTTTCGTCTGCTTTAAACCTTTTTTAAATAACAAAAACAAAAAAAAAACGAAAAAAAAAAACGAAAAATTTATTTATTTATTTATTTTTTCAATTTTTTTATTTTATTTTTATTTTTTTTAATGAATTTTTTTCTCGTATTCTGCTTTCAATTGTAAAAATATATAAACAATCGTTTAAATATTTAACAAATAAAAATGTACGCACGCACAATGCGTAAGTACAAAACGCGTAACGCACGAAAAGAAAAAAAAAAAATTTTTTTTAAAAACGATAAATAACAAATTTAAATTTGAAAATCACAAGAGGTTGGTTGGTTACTTATAAAATTTAATGGAGTTTAACGCTCGGAAAACTTTTCCCATTCTCTCCCTCTCTCAAGAGTTTTCCATAAATTACATTAACATCACATTCGATAAAATTTTTTTTAACTGAAAAAAAAAAAAAAAAAATTTTCGCACGCGCGGAAAATTTTCCGTCGAAGAGATTATATATATATATATATAAATTTTATTTAAATTTTGATGACGTCATCAATTGTTTTAATAAATTAATTTAATTTAAATTTTTACAATTGATGAAAAAAAATTAAAAAAATTATAAAAAGGTCAAAAGGTATCGACGACGACAACGATAAAGTTCAAAATGGCGTAATATCGAAATTTATTTATTTATTTATTTATTATGTTCGAAAGTTGATGATTACAATTAAGTATTAATTTTTTAAAAAATTTTTATTGTAGTGATAATAATTATTTGTTGTAGTGATTTATTTATTTTTTTTTTTTCTAAAAAAGTTAAAAAGAAAGAAAGAGAAAGAGAGAGAGAGAGAGAGAGAGAGAGAGGGGGAAAATAATAAAAAGTTTTCGTTCGTTATGTATTTTTATTAAGAGTTGTTAGCAATTTTTTTTTTTTTTTTTAATAATAATTTAATATCGTGATAATAATTGACGAGTTGTTAAAAAAAATTATTATTATTAACTGTAAAACTGGAGAAAAAAAAATTTAGTCAGCAAAAAATTCCAAAAAGAAAAAAAAATGTCAAAAAATTATTATTATTATTTGATATGAAAATTGTTTTACACTTTTTTTTTATTTTTTTAATACAAAAAAAAAGAATTTTCTCTCTCTCCCTCTCTCTCTCTCTCTCTTATATCTTTCACAAACTCTCTCTCTCTTTCTCTTTGGCTTCTTTCGTTCTTTCTTTCATATTATTATTATTATTATTATTATTTTTATTTGATAGTTGAAAAGAAAAAAAAGAAAAAAATATGACGAAGAATATCCCACGGGTGATAATATTTTTTTCAATTTTATTTAATATTATTATTATTATTATCGCATCTTCAAACGTACATTACGAAGTACCTGAACCGACTTTTGAAATTTTCTCGCCGAAAGGTTTAAGAATATTTATTCCAGGTAAATAAATAAATAAAAAAAAAAAAATTCCAGTTACGTCCTGTTTTTCTGTTTTTTCCGAACGGTGACATGCAACGTCGCATTATTTCAACAAATGTGGGCGAAATGACGAGCGTGTGAAACAATAATAATAATAATGATTTTTTTAGATTTCAGAAATGTCGAATCCGTAGATTTTATCATTTCCCTTCCGAAGACGAATGAAATATTGGAACATAGAGCAGAAAGACCCGATGGTGGATTTTGGATGTACTGGAATCCAGATGTTTCCATTTATCTCTGCGAAATTATTTATTATAAAATAATTGTTAAACAATCGAGTTATTATTGGAAAAAAGATGGAGGTCACGTCGTGCAAAAAGGTTATTATCATCATCATTATTATTATTATTAAAGTTTTTATCATTAAAAATGAAATGAAATGAAATTTTTTTTTTTTTCTTAACAGTTACACCGCTTACGACGACGGGTCGTTCAAATGACACTTATTGCGACGAATATGGAGGTCGAAAGATTATCACGGGATTTCCCAGTTTGGATGAATTTCATAATCGTGCGAAATTAATAGCTTCTGGGGCATCATCATCATCATCCGATATTAGATCGTCGTATTCATTAATAAAAGATTCAAGTTTAAAACCTATTACGAAAGCTAAAACTTCAACAACTTCCGGTACGTTTTTTATAAATCCTTCGGGTTTCGTTGAAGGAGGAACGGGTTACAAAACGGAATCCACGTACGATTCGACTAAAAACGAAGGGGAACAATGGAATTATCACGAATCGAAATTAACTCAAGAGGATTTGGAAAGAATAAAACAAACGTACAAATCCGGATATTACGGACTTCAAGAATTGACTAATAAATTATTTCCGAACGGTCGCGACGTACTACCCGATCACGAATATCGTGCCATTCATCGAACTCACGAATCCACGATATCCGATGCGAAACAACAAATCCCTCCGACTCGTGGTGCCATATTAAAAACGACGGAATTTCATCATAGAGAAGAACAATCGTCTTCCGGAAGAGATGATGGATATGTTTATGATAACGTGAGAGGAATGACAACACCGCAACAACAACAAATATCTCACGTGTCTCATAATTACGATTATGCTTATCAAAACGTTCCAATGATGTCTTCCTCTTCATCTTACGGACAGGATAATTATAATAATCAAAGAGAATTCAACACGGGTCAAATTTCTACAACGCTCGAAAATAGGCAAACGTTCAGAGATCGTACCTACGATGGAAATTCCATATTTGCATCTTTTAAAACGATCAATCCGAGGTACCCGCAAGAATGCGTTTTTAATCCTTCTTCCGATTACGTACTTTCGGGTAACGTTAAAGAAATAGAAAAATTCACGTACGAACTCAGCTGTTTGGGTACCCTCGTGGAAAATTCAATGAAAAGAGAAATCAACGTGTTAAAACAACAAAATGTCGAACTTTATAAAAAAATTGAATATTTAGAAGAACAAATGAGAAGATTCGAAACCAATTGTCGCTGTTATTAATTATTATTATTATTATTATTTAAAAAATTGTGAGTATACGCCACTGAATTTACATTTTATAAACGTGAGTTTTTAATTTTCGACCCCCGAAAAAAAAACATATAATTTAAATTAATAATTTTTTTCACTTAGAATAAATAAAAAAAAGTCGTGGAATCAGACGTGGGAAGGGAGGGGAGGGAAAATTTATTTACTCTATGATTTAAAAAAAAAAAAAACAAAAAATTATTAAGGGGGGAAAATAATGACGTTTCGAAGCATTTTTTTTTTTTAAATAAAAACGGGGGATACGCGTGAGGAAGTGCGTGAGTGCGTGTATGCACGTGCGTGTTTTCGCACGCATTCACTCACGTAAACAAAGAAAATAATAATGATAATAATTTTACTTAAAAAAGAAAAAAAAAGAAAAAGTAAGTAAAATTTTAACCGAAAACTCCGTGAATTTTCGCAAGACATGTACGAGATTATAGAGTTGAATGTTAATATTAGTTAAGCTCGCTTTCTCTCTTTCTCTTTCTCTCTCTCTCTCTCTCTCTCTTTCTCTCTCTTAGTAGTAGCAAACCTTATGTAAGAGGATCAACGAAATGTAAACACTTTATTACAATTTTAATCAGACATTTTGTTTTGAAAAGAAAATCTTGAATTTTCTTCTTATTAGTTTCAAACCTGTATATTTTTTCTCTTGTTTTTCTTCTTCTTCTTCTTCTTCTTCTTTCGACATTTTTCCTTTTTTCTCTCTTTTTTCATCTTTTCCTACTAATTCATTTTTTTTTTTTTTAGTTCCGCTTTAAGGAATAAAGAATAAAAATTAAAAGAAGACTTATTATTATTTAAAATGGGGGGGAAACCTCTTATTAAAAAAAAAATACAAAAAGTTACAATTTAACGTGGTGGTGGTGGCGGTGGCAGGGGGGTAATAAGAAGGTAGAAGGGTATTAAAGGCGAAGCACGAGAACGGGGGAGGGGGGGGTAGGTAGGTAGGTAGAAAAAAAAGAAAAATGAAAAGGAGGAAGTCGGTAAAAAAAAAAAAAAAAAATTACAAGCGCATGGTTGGTTGTTATCGTGATAAAGGCTTGTTGCAATATAAATTATTAATTTTTTTAAAATCAGTTTTTAAACTTTTCCACCCTCCTCCCTCCTTTTTTTTCCTTTTTTTCTTTTTTATTATTTTGGGGAGCCTTTTTAATGCCTTTGAAGAATAAATTTTTTTTTTAACCGAAAAAAAAATTAAATAAATTCTTTGGTTTTTTTTCTTGTCTTCTTTCTTTCTTTCTTTTTCTTTCTTTTCTTTACTTTCTATCTTTCTCTTTTTTTTTTTTTGGTTTTTTAATCTTTTTCACCGCAGAAAAGAAAGTTAGAAAAACAGAAAAAAAAATTTTCTCGATTCGTATTAAATATAATTTAAAACAACAACTTGTTTATTTTCGCGTGCAAAACATTTAATTAAATAAAATCATTTGAGAGATTTTTTAATGACGTCAGAGGTAAAAAAATTTTACGTATCGAAAATTCTCTTTAAACCTCCTTTTCCTCCTCCTCCCTCTCCCTCTTCCCTCCCCGGAAAATTTTCCTACATCTCTCTTAGTTTTTTTTAATACCAAAAATCCAAAGCATTTACGAAAATTCAAAATATTTCCTTAAATTCAAATCGATTTTAATTTATTTTTTTTATGTTATTTAAATGACGTCATTAATAATTAACTATCTATTAAATATGGCGGATATGAAACAAAAAAAAAAAAATTAAAAACATTATTTATTTATTTATTATTTTTAAAATTTTCCACGTAAATATCGAAAGTTTTTACTTCCGGTTTTTTTTTCGAAACGTTTTAATTTTATTAGAATTAAGCACAAAAAAAAAAACGAAAAACAAAAAACAAAAAGAAAAGAAAAAATCGTTTCCGGAAAACTGGGAAAATTTTTTTTTCGTTTGTAAGTTTGTAATCACATAAGTTAAATATTAAAAAGGGAAAAATGGAAAAGAGAATAATAAGAATCGTAATGGAAATTTTCAATGATATCGAAAGCAAACAAAATACGGAATAATTTTTCCCCCTCCCTCCCCTCCCGTCCTTTTTCGAGTTTTCTTTTTTTTTTTTATGAGAGCGAAGGGGGAGAGGGAGGGAGGGGAGAAAAGGGGGGTATTTTATGGAAAACGTTTTTAACGTAAAATAAATTTATTGTCACGACGATAAATATAAACCTCATTTTTACCTTGTATAACCGTCTTTGGTAAATATTTGTTTTGTAAAAAAATAAATATTATTTACGTTGAAACCGACGAGAATAAGTCATTATTATTATTATTATTATTATTATTATTATTATTATTATTATTATTATAAGTAAATTTAAGGTTTGAGGGGATTTTCCCGGTTGACTAAAATCGATTTTTTTTTTTTTTTTTACGTAAGGGGAAATTTAAAAAAAATTTTTAACTCGAATTATTTGTAAAGACGACGTTTGACTTTTTTTTTTTTTTTAAAACGTCTTCTGCTATTTTAATAAATTTAAAAAACGAAGAATTTATTTTTCTAAATATTATTATTTTCAAAGGAACAAAACCGAACGTTTGCGCGTACGCGACGAACGTTTTCAATTTCAACTTAGTTGAACGTTTTAATTTAAACTTGGGTTTTTTTTTTTTTTTTTAGGCTCCATTTTGTAAAACTTTACACGCGGATATTAATTTTTTTTTTTTTTTAACAAACTTTTTTTTGTTCGTTATTTTACACAAAGGAAACGACTGGAAAATTTTCGAAAAAAGGGGATAAAAGGATGGGGAAAGAGGGAGAGAGAGAAAGAGGGGGGAAACGACGAATCGTATCGAAATGTTTGAAAAGTAAAAATTTTTTTGACGTCACGTCGCTTTCCCTTCTCCCTCAAATTTCCCCGAAAAAAGAACATAACAAAACGTTCGATAAAAAATGAACGCCATTTTTTTTTTTTTTAAATAAAAAATGATGTCATTGATTTCAAAATGCAACAAGTCGAATTCAATTATAATAAAAAAAATCTTATTAGTCATCGTTCATATAAAAGGATAATTTTTTTTTTTTGTACAATTTATTAAACAAAACTTTTAAATTTTATTATTATTATTATTAATTTTTTTTTTATATGCAACAAATTTGAAAAACTTTTGAATATTTTTTTTTTTTTTAACAAAAAGTGGTTTTTGCGGTTAAAATTCATTCGTATAAAATTTTCCAAAAATTTTCTTTCTTTCTT